AGTTGCTCCCTTGTGACTGACAGCTTAGCATCCCAGCAGTAACTGTGACAGTGTTGGGTAGTTGAGCAGTTGGTGAGAAAAACTCAGCCATCTCTCTCAAAGGCAGACCCTGTAAGGTTGGACTAATGGGCAGCAAGACCACCAGCTGCAGACAGCTTACATGCAACAACTTTCTACATCAACCTTCTTTAAATCTAGAAACGGTCAAGTGGTCATCCCCGAGATAAAGGGTTACGAGCTTACGTCATGTAGTTTTCTACTGACAAAGACTCTAGGTAAGCCTCTTCACCCAATTTTGTCTACAAAATTATGCTTCTACTGAGAAAAGGAAAAGAAAGGAGACAAATGAGCATCTGTGTTGGCATGCTGGGAACATGGGTCACAGAGCCTGGTGGATGGGAGCCTTTTCTCTGGATAAATTAAATGAGCTTCTCTAAGTGTCAGAAGAACTCATTACACCCCTTCATTTTTTTTTTTCTTTTTGGAGACAGAGTCTTGCTCTGTCACCTGGGCTGGAGTGCAGTGATGGATCTCGGCTCACTGCAACCTCTACCTCCTGGGTTCAAGTGATTCTCCTGCCTCAGCCTCCCGAGTAGCTGGGACCATAGGCACCTGCCACCATGCCCAACTAATTTTGTGTTTTTAGTAGAAATGGGCTTTCACCATATTGGCCAGGCTGGTCTTGAACTTCTGACCTCAGGCAATCCTCCCAGCTGGGTCTCCCAAAGGGCTAGGATTACAGGCATGAGCCACCGTGCCTGGCCCACACCCCTTCTTTGTTACCCTCTGTGTTTCAGATTTTTTTTAAAGAGTGTGTTTTGTTTCCCTAATCAGTGCCAGGGGTGTGGCAGAGTTGGTGTGAGCCACCATTTAGGCCACAGCCACACACTCAGGTATGTGCTTGTCCACTGTGAACATCCTACAGCATCTGCTACCTGAAGGGGCTACACACTCAGCATTAAAATACAGAGGGGCTTTGTTTGTGGTTTCATTTTAGAGGAGTCTCCCTCTTCTACATCACTAGATCACCTTGAATAAATGAACAATAATCAATAACTTTAATTTTCATAGCAATATGTGTATTGATTGTATTTGATTTAAGCCAAAAAAAGAAAAGGAAAATTTAAAAGATTTCTAATTCTCTCACTTGAAGTGTTTAAACTTTAAAACATTTGGACCCAGATGTATAAAATCTTCACTCAACTCCACATATGTCTCTACATATGCGCAAATTAGGATTTATGAAAATCTTCCAAATCCTCAAAGATTATTCATTGTTGTTATCTATCACAACTTTGGTGAGGGAGGCCCAGGGTTTGCTTAGAGGAACATGAGGGTTGCAGGCAGGGAGCCCTGCATTTGTGTCCTGGTCTGGGTGCTGATTAACCATGGAACTGGTTATTGAGCCTCTGTTTCCCCATTTATAAAATGGGACCAGTCATACCTGCCAGGCAAGGGAGGGTTGAGTGTTTGGAGCAGTCTCGCCCATGGAGAGGCACAGCTAATAAATTCCAGTTGCCTTTCTCCCTCCCTTTTATTCCAAGAAACTATGCAAACATGTGGAATTGATGTTTAAAATTTTTTTAAAATAAGTTCTGTGATCTGTGGAGAATTTTAAATCATAGAAGGCTGGAGCCAGTGAAAGCACCAGTGCAGGGTCTGAAAGCCTCACCTTGGCGTAAGGAAATTCCAGTTCCCTCGGAAGGTTCCACAGCATCAGCACAGAAGCTAGCAGACCTGTGTCACAGACCCCCATTTTTAATAAATCAGTGCAGAGAAAACTGGTTTTTCCTCATTTCTTGACAAGCGCCAGCATGGGGATTGAGTGGATTTTTCCAGTGTGGTGCCTTCTGCAGCCTCACATGGTGGGGTATCTCTGGGTCTCCAGGGCTCTGTCTTGCTAGACTGCAGTTTCTTTTCAGAAACGTGGAATAGTGGTGGGCTTTGTTTTCTGCTGAAGCTGGATGGCTTAATTACCGTTTATTCCCCCCGCAGCTCTTACTTTTACAACAACCTGGGATTTTCTCCAGACTTGGTTTTCTGCATTCTAAGCCTTTCCACCTCATCTCTCATAAACACACAGCTCTTGTGCTTGGTTATCTGCTTTCTTTTATGTGTTTTTCCGTGCTCAGTTTTATGAGCAGGCTGGTCACGATTGGAATAAATTCCGAAAAGCATTAGACCTTCAGCCACCTTTGTGCAAGAGCATTTCTTGTAAATAAACTGATTCTTTGTTTTCTAGTTAAAAATCATCTGTGCCTTGGAAAGATTAAAATGCAGTTACTGGAAGGCTCCTTGCTTCCCTGTTTCGCTAGCTTTGCACGTTACCTAATTAGAGTGGAAAGTCAGGGCTGCCTCCTCTGAGTGCTGAGCGTGGCTGAGGCCAGGAGCAAGTGTGTGTGTGGCAGTTAAGGTCTGCCGGTTCAGTGGCAGAGCCCGCGGCGGGCACACTCAGGACAGCAAGCTCAGCACATCTGGCCTTATTATGTCTCCCTTCCCCCTCACCAGGCAACTTCTCCAGGGCGTGCACATCTGATTGTTTCTAATTAATTCATTGACCCAGAGAGGCCGCAGCCAGGGCTGGACGGGCACTGCTGGGTGTGTGTCTGAGTGTGCGTGCACCCTCGTGGGCCGCGTGCACATACCATTGGGGCTATGTAGCAGCATTCCACCTACTCACTGGTAGACTTGTAAAAGCAACCACAAAACATCTTTAAACAAAACCAGAATAATGACCTTGAAGGCACCGAGAAGCCACATCGGCATCCTTCCTGGTTGTCGTATTGTTCTTAATAGTCTGCATTGCTGGGTTGTGACATTCACATGGCCACAAAAGCATCTTAAGGCCAAATAACATTTAATTTGTGTCTTTTATTTATTTTTAACTAAGCACATTGCATGTTTCCAGATAGACCCACAGTGAGGTGCCTGAGCCCAGTATGCGGAATGTGAGCCCTGGAGCCGCACCTCTCTGCGGAGCCAGGCCGTGTGCGCTTCCTCTGCACCTCATGGAGAGGATAAGGAAGGAGGATGTATTAGTTCATTTTCACACTGCTATAGAAACACTACCTGAAACTGGATAATTTATAAAGGAAAGAGGTTTGATTGGCTCTCAGTTCTGCGTGTCTGGGGAGGCCTCAGGAAACTTACAATCATGGCTGAAGGGGAAAGGGAGGCAGGCACCTTCTTCACAAGGCGGCAGGAGAGAGGGGGACAGAAGAACAGCCAAACACCCCTAAAACCATCAGCTCTCATGAGAACTCACTATCCCAAGAGCAGCATGGGGGAAACCGTTCCCATGATCTAGTCCCGTTCCACCAGGTCCCTCCCTGCCACGTGGGGATTACAATTTGACTGGGGACACAGAGCCGCACCCCGTCAGAGGGACCACCCTGTGTGTGACTGAGCTCTACACCAGTTTGATTTGGGCATCAGCAAGGGGCATGTTGGTATAGCTCTTTGGGAGTAGGGAGGAGGGGTCATTTTTAATGGAATGGTTCCCCTGTCCCATTCTCCCCTGCCCTCTGCCAGCTCCTTCCCTCCTGAGACACCTCAGGCCAGGTTTTGGAGGGAGCCCTTGGAACAGAGCAGCGTACAGCTGGACAGAGGGACCGTGCCTGTAGGGGAGAGCAGGTGCCTCTTCCTTGGGTGGCCGTAGCTCCTCCAGGCATGGGGCTGGTGGGCAGAGACCAGCTGGGTTTAGCCTCCATCCACTCCACAGTGCTATGCCAGCGGAGACGCTGCCCACCCACACCCAATGTGACTGCACAGCCAGGGGAGCTCTGAGCTCCTCCTGTAGCCACCCCATGCCGCCAGCCACCTGTGCATCACACAGTGGCATATCACGGAGCTGTCGTCAGGTTAGACACCATGGGAGGACAGAGGTCAGGTTTCCTAGCGGGCCCTGTTGAGGTAAGCCCTGTGGTCCCTGCAGGGTGAGACATGTCTCTTCTGGGTGCAGGGAGAGCAGCAGCGTGGAGAGCGCAGTGGGGAGTCCTGGAGAGTCAGTCCCCAGAAGTGTGGTCAGCATGGGCTCGCCTTCCCCACCCCTGCTGTGGCTGCCATCCCAGCATTCCTCAGAGGGCTCAGCGTCCACGGACCCCATGGCATCCCACGCACCCCTCAGCCAGAGCCGCCTTCCTCCCCTGGAAATCGCCTGCCCTCCTCTGGTGACTGGCCTGTCGTCCCACCAGCATCTCCCATCCTATCCTTGGGACATAGGCTCCACGGCCCTGCGTTGCGTTCTGGTGTGTGGTTCGGGTTTCCTTTCTTAGGACAAAGTCGTTAGGGGCAGGCACGTGTGCATGGAGATGAGGCATGTGGCTCGCAGGCTAGTCCTCACTGAGGACTGTGAGGCCCTGGCTTTCCCAGCACTGGCTGCACTCCCTCTGGGTCTTCCACTCTCAAGGGCTCCTGAAGCATTTTTAGAACTTTCTGCGCAGGCTTCCGGGGCTTGCTGTCCGTGAGCCCCAGCACGGATCCCATCCTGGCTCACACCTGGGATGTGCAGTGTGAGGAGGCACTCCCTCTCGGGGCGTGCGGGTGCAGGGGCATCGTCTGAGAGCCAGGGCCTCTTAAACGTTGCACCCTGGGCACCTTGCCTGGCTGGCCTCACCCAGTCCCAGCCCTAGACATTGAAGTTGGACAGACCTGGCGGAGGATCCCAGAGCACTGGGTGCTCATCCAGGTGACCTTGGGAGAGTTACGTTTCCTCTCCAAACCTCAGTGTCCCTCATCCTGGGTCATGAAGGTTAAGTTAGGGGCCCTGGGTGCACTACTGAGCACACCCCCTGACGCGTAGATGCTCCATGGATGCTTGCGGTGGTTACCGTTTTTATCGGGTGAACACAAACCCTTCCCATGTGGGCTGAGACTCAGAGATCCAGTCAGCATGTCCCAGTCCTGTCTTGATGATGTGTGACGCTGACTGTGCGAACTTGCCCGGGGAGACCAGGGCCCCCCACGTTCTGAAGAGGATGTGTTTTGTGTCTCTGCTGCAGGAATTGCTTACTTAGGAGGTGTGTGCAGTGCTAAGAGGAAGTGTGTGCTTGCCGAAGACAATGGTCTCAATTTGGCCTTTACCATCGCCCATGAGCTGGGCCACAAGTAAGTATCAGACTCTGTCGTCCTGTTTGTCTCAGTTCTTTTGTGAATACACGTGTTTCACTTGACTTGTCTCTGTTCTGAAACAGCGCTGCTCCTTGCCTTTGTTGCTTCTGCAGTAACCCCAGGCCAGTTCACCAGGGTCCCAGCCCTCAGGGACCCCACGAGCTTACTGCACCGATTGGCTTGGGGAGTTGAAATGTTAATTTGATGTGCATGTCAAAGGAGCAGTGGGAAGAGGCTCTTCCCAGGATGTCCTTATTTAGGTGTACTTCCCTGCACGAGCATGCTCTTTGATTCACTCTGTTATTCACACAATGAGATGTGTCTTTATACTGTTGACTTTGCATTTCTTTTACAGCCAGTTCTAAAGTCCAACTTTCTGAATGTAGAATTTAGTGTGTGAGTTTTGAAGAATTAACAGCTGTGGATAATAGTCTTTGCACACATTATGATTATGAGAATGGAAGGGTGTCAGATCACTCACCAACATCTGGGATGTTAGGGCCGTTGAATAGTCAATTTAAATAAGGTGGGTTTGCACACAGTGATTCTTCCCTTTAGGATGAAATAACCCTGGAACCTTAGAGCCCATAGATGCCTTAGGGAGAGTCTGGGGCAACCTCCCGGTGGTTCAGATGAGGAAACAGAGGGTCAGAGGGGTTGCTGAGTGGCTGGCCCCAGGTTGATAACCTGCAGGAAGCCTCAAGTGGCAAAAACCCAGATGACGGTGATGCTAAAACTGTGGGCTGAGGGTTATTCTTTTTCCTAGAGTAAGCATCTGTTTTATGTTTCTCTGTGATATGACTGCTTACGAACTTAAAAGAAAATGACATTTAGGAGGCCAGAGCATGCAAAACAGTGGGAAGGTTTATATTGGATTGCATAGAACATCATTAAATGGAGATCTAGTTCTTGGAGGAAAAAATTACCGTAAAGGTTTCCTACTGACCTGCACAGTCAGAGGCCTGGGTTCTCGGCTGTGAACTAGTTTTTACCAGAGTAAAGTCAGTGTGTAAGGAGGAGTATAAAAGCAATTGTTGTCAAGCCTTTGCCATATCTGTGGCTTGACTTTTTGTTTTTGTCGTGGTGGTGGTGTATCTAGTCCCGCCTTAAGCTTCTCCGTTCTGTAGAGGGTTTGGTAGCTGGCTTTTCCGCGCCTGTTGTGTGTCATGGTGTGAGTAGGGCCACGGAGCGGACGTGATTTGTGCGCATTTCCTGGCGTGGCAGGAAATCCTGTTACTGACCCAGGAGCTGGTGAAGCGGGGTGAGCGGTTGCCTCTGAGTACAGAGCTATCTCATCTTGACACTATTTTAAAAAATGTTGGTGACAATCCTTTGCACATACTCTCTTTTAGACGAAGCTCAATTGCATTTGTATTAATACCTCTTAGTCCTTAAAATCCTGTATCCAAGAGTGATTTGCTGGAGAAAAAAAAGCATAAATCGGGAATGGGTTTGGCAGACATCTTCCCACCATCCAGGGACCCAACCAGCGTTCCGTAGTACCTAAGAATCACATAGTACCTAGTGATTATGAGAATGCAGGCATGTCCAAGCACTTACCAACATCTGGGCCGTTATGGGCCTTTGAATAGTTAATTTAAATAAGGTGAGTTGAGCCATAGTTACACGAACTGCAATATTGCACGGCAGCATCCAGCAGCATGGCACATGCTAAGTGCCATTTGCCCATAGGTGTGGGTGCACCCACGCTGCATGGAGGTCTTGTCTCATCAGACATGAAAAACACAGAGGGCCATTTTCTCCCTGATGACCTGTTGGAGTGCAACGGATCCAACACTGGCCTCCCTGCACCGGAGGTCTGCAAAGATGAGTGGTTAGACTCTGACACTCTTTAGTACCCTTTAGCTATAGTCTGTTTAGAATAGTCTGTTTAGAATTTCTTGGAGGATGCTTTATAGCTCACTATTGAACTCTAATTACCTACAAAAACAAACACCTTATTGTGCATCAAAGCCAGTAAATCTTGCTAGCATTTGGCCTGCCCCCTCCTTGGGTGATTACAGCTTTCCCAGGGAAGTCTGTCCTCTTTGATTAGTTGCAAGTGTCGGGAAGCAGATCCCCGGAGGGGGCAGCCGCGTCCTCCCCATCCATGGCCGTCCTGGTTACTGGGCTCTGGTTTCAAGCTACCTGGGCTGCTGGAAAAGGCCCAGACGAACCTACGCTCTGAGCGAAGCCACGGGCCAGGTTGCTTCACAGACACAAAACCTGATAGCTGTTCTGTATTTTGGAATGCAGTGGATCCATTTAACTCCATGTTCCTGAGCTTGTGTGAGGAAAGTCTCCAGGTTGCTCATCCACCGGTCCCTTACTATGGAATGCTGATAAAATGAAACGTTTCCGGAGGGAAGGTATGCTCGTGTGTGCCTTTGCACACAGCAGCAAAGGTGCGGCTCTTCCGTCACTTACCCAATGTGCATCATAGGGCGACTGGTGTGAGCAACTACCCTAAGATCGGATTGTCAGGAGAAAAATTCCGCTTCTGTATGAGCTACACGTTCCATTTATCAGACAATGAGTTGCACAGATGTATGTGATTTTGTTTCTGCGCTGGCTGTCAGAAAGCACAAAGCTAGATTTAGGGCTTATTTTCAGCAATTAATTCATCTGCATCCTGGAATTATACTTTTCTCCCTCTTTCTAATGTCTCTTTGTATGCATGGTTTTATTTTAAATAGTTCAAACATAATTTATTTGGTACTGTAAACTGGCTCTAATCCAATTTGCAATCGCATAGGTCCTAAATTATAATGAAATTTAAAATTCTTACCGTGGTAATGTCAATAATGCTGCTTCAGCCATGAATTAGTAACATACTAGTGATACTTACCTCCAAGCAGCTCTCTCATTTGTTGAGCACCTACTATGTGCTGGGTACTGTGCAAGATGCTCTGTGTTTATCACACCATTGAGTCAGATCAATGAGGTAGGTATTCCATAGCTTTTAGTTTACAGGTTGGGAAACTAGTATTGCTTTGTTAAGATTTATAGTTGCTACTTAATATGATTTGGGATCACTTATATGATTATACGTGCTGCAATAAGCCCTTTAAAATAAGCATGTAAATTACATGAAATAAATAATAAGAGGACTCGTAGAGTCAAACACCAGGGGACCTTCAGTTGAAGGGAAGTAATGTTCTTGTATATAGCTGCTGCTGGCTGACCAAGGACAATGACCATGTCTTGGAGAGGGTTTCCCTAGGACACCCAAGTACTGCAGATGAGCTTGACAGCTTTTTTGTTTTTTGAGATAAGATTGACAGCTTTTTCTTTTTGAGACCAAGCAATGGGGCAGTCATTTAATTAATAGAAGTTCGAGACTATTAGAATGCAAGTGATGCCAGTGAAAATGATCAGTAGTTGTGTGGTTTTACAGAAACATGGAACAGGCTTCATTACATATTAATACTGAAGTGAATCCGAGATTTTAGAAGCTTCCTGCCTGGGGCCTTCTCAAGGATCTTGCCTCTCATATATTGTCATTAACTCCATTGTAACCACTGAGCTGAAGCTGTGGATTTATCAGATTGACAGCTTTCTGATTCCCGGCCCTGACAAAGGAGCAGACTGCGAAAGACTCCCCAGCCTTGCTGTGGACAGGGGCTGGAGGATGGCACGTCCTGGTGCAGGTGGTGTGTGAGAACCTGTGGAGGGCTGCCCTTGCAGCTGCCCGGAGGAAGAGCCATGCTGAACAGCAGTCACGCTGACACCAGCCTGGAGGTTCCTAATTGTACACCATGCCCTTGGTTGCCTTCTTGCCCATGAAAGGCTATTCTGGTGGGCAGCTGCGTGCTACCTTTGGGTTCAGCTGGTAATTAGACATGTTGGCAGTGTAAAGTGTGAGGAAGGCAGCTATCTCCCTTCCCATAGTGGTAGCTTGAGAAACGCACCTTAAAGTGAGTGTTTAGGGTCTCCTTCTGTCTTTCTCCATCCTGTGGTGACCATTAGAAATCAGCAGCCCCCGTGCATGGCGGCAACAGGCGTCTTTTACCAACTGATACTTGTTGAGACAGAATCCATGAAACGGTGGGGCCGGGGGAAGTTCCTTGAGAGAAACAGTGCAGCTGGGATGCACACCCCAGGTTTTCTCTTCCGGGAAACCAGGACAGGTGCCTTGTCCTGGAGGTCGGCATTCAATGTGCTGATCACAATCTGGTTTTAAAGAGAAAGAGGAAAATCCAGAAGTAAGTGTTTGTTTCTCTCAGGGTCAGGCGCAACTCTGGTTGGTCATGGGAAGGACCATCCCCTGATGAAGAGTAGAAGCTCAGGTCCATCCTGACTGCCCGGGAGAAAAAGCAAAAATAAAACCCAGATCGAGGAGGGAGTAACTTTAGTGTGACTTTGAAGCAACTGGGCGTAATGCAGCTGCTGGAATTTTAGCCTCTATTGTCGGCTGTCATTTGGAAGCTACGGTGTAAAACAGAGAAAGTGCGTAGCTCTGTGAAGCTGCTGAGAGTGCCTCGTGTTTCCAGGGAGGTGGATCTGGTGTGTTGCAGCAAGGTCCGGGGAGGTGCCTGGTGGAGGAGCTGGTCCTAATGTAACTGCATGCAGGAGGGCACAGAACCAGGGGTCCCCCAGTTGTTCTGGGCCCAGGGAAACGCAGGACCCTGTGCCTGCATGCACCTCAATTAGGTAAGGCAGCAAGCTCCCGGGAGAGGTCTGGGTGGGGTGACAGTAGAGGGAGGGAGTCTGCTGTGTGCACTGCCTGCCTCCCACAGTGAAGAGCTTTCCCATTGCAGAAAGTACACCTCTGCCTTTGTTGCATTGAGGAGTGTCTGTTAGGTAAGCCTGAGCTGACCAGGGGTTAAGGAATGCCTAGCCTTGGGAGCCAGCCCAGCCATGGGAGGTCTCTAGCCCACGTGGCAGCAGCGCCACGCACGGCTCAGCCTCCTGCGGCCTGTCCTCATGGAGGAGCTTCTCCAGACCTGCTCCTCCTGGGGTTTTCCCTGCCACCCTGCTTCCTTGCTTCAGTCAAA